GATCGCCGCTATGCGATCCGGGCTGGCTGGCTGGATCAGGCAGACGCGCCCTCCAATCAGGCAATGTAGAGGGCCGCCCGCAGTGGCCTCGGAAGAGCGAGCGGCCGCCCGATGACAGCCAGGTGATCGTGTCAGGGAGAGGGAGCCATGGCTTCGTTTAGCGGGGGTCGTGACGGCGCCCCCCCTCAGTCCTGCGCCCGGGGCAGCACCACCGGTTGTTACGCCACTGTATGAATATCACCTAATAATGTCCATCTTCATTGTTTTCTTAGGGCCCTTTCAGACGGATGATTCGATCAGTTTTTCAGGCGGACCCGACCACATACCCAATGTAAGTCGATGGGCAGACAGATCTTAATAGAAGGGTGTCTGTTTATATCTGATTGCTCCAGACTCCGGCTGGGTCCAGAAAAACAAACAGAACAGTGTTCCATTTTGCGAACTTGGTCAAGCCAAATCGGGATCCCATCCTGATCGGACAGTGTGATAGGGGCCTTACAATACCTCTTCCTAGTTGAAATGAAAGAGGCAATCTGATTGGTTACTATTATAATAACCAGAACCAGACTGGGCAGTTTTGCACTAAGGAAACATTAACAATGGATCCTCCATCCATCAAGTATGAAGTTTTCTTTGGACTCCTTTTCAGTTCCATTCTGCAGGGAAGCCGAAGGACCTTCACCTCACACTTTCCAATGCCAAGTGAACTATGTAATAGAAATGTCTAGTTTATAATGATTGATGAGGTCAACAGCCTTACAGCAAAGGCCAGTACGGAACAGGAGTCCCAGAAATTCCAGGGGGCAGGAATGGGAAGTAAAAAGGAAGGTGTCCAAAGGACTCTTTTACCAGTCTGGATCTACAAATAATCCACTTCCAACACTACAGGGCCACACCCTACAGGTTGGGCACCAAGGACTTAAGCCAGTTATACACGTAACCCATGGGCGCGTACAAAATGCGGGCTGAACAAAGAAAATTTAACAGATTCCTCCATTAACGCGCACGAGCGTTGTTCGGGGAACCTCCCCACTGCAGCCAGCAGCTGTCACAATACCCGAATGAGCCTACAGCTGATTGGCTGCCAACTTTGCATTTGTAAACACAGGGCTGTCCCCATAATGAGGCAGACACCAGAGAGAGACACTGACAGCGCGGTCCAGTGTCCACCGCTGCCCTACAAGCCCCCCGGAATTACAAGTGAATGATTGATTGAACAGTGCCTGTCAGCACCCCCTTCCCCCCAACCAGAACCTTGGCCGGCGATTACCATTGGGATGGCCATGTCTATACAGGTCTTTAGCAATGTAAAGTTCACTCGAAGCAGGTCATCTGCAGGTCAAATACACCTGTCAATCATGACCAATGGTAACACCTTCCCACCGATGTAATGCATATATAAGTGACCCTGGTGCCTTAATGCCAGTTATATGCATATATGCATCAGCTTGCCCGCTGCTCTGTGCTCACTAGCGCGCTCCCGGTGTCACTGACAACTCCCCGTCACTGTTTACATTCAGATCCTGTGGGACGAGCTCCCAATCACGTGACAGCTGCGAAAGCCAATCGCAACGATCACATTATCAGGAAGCCCACCTCCGCCTCCTGTCACTCAGATCCACTTAAAGGGCCAGCAGGAGCCTGCACCAAAGGGGTTCAATTGTGGAACCCCTCACTTTCTTTCAATTGGACAGGAAGTGAGGGGAAATCTCCCCACGGGGTTACAAGCATTAATGACACTCAACCGAGGTTCCTACCCTATTCTATCCAAAACATTATAAAAAGTCTTGCATTGCATTCCACTTAAACTTCGCTTACATCTGAAAATACATTTTTGTGGTTATCCAACCTCTCAGGAAGAAAAAAAAAAGCACGGTTGCGTAAGCTGTTTCAGTGAACGGTCGGATGGTTATAGTTACACGAGCGCCGTTCGTCCCAGCCTGTGTCAGGTGCAGGATAGATATGTATTTATAAATAGGCATTGCATTTCACAACTCCCCCCCGCCCCCCCCGGGCATTAAAGGGTTAATAGGCCTTTTCCCAGCAGGGCCGGTGCCATCGTCGCCATAGTAACAACCGTCTCTCAATAGCTTCTGTCCCACTTTCTATCAGGTCCCAAATACAGCCATAATTCTTTCCTATTCCTCCTGCACTGACACTGAGCACACGGGGCTATGAAGGCGTTGCAGTCGCAATATGGTCATCAGTAACATAGTAACAGTATGTCCTGTTATAAAAAGTAGTTTGTGTTGTCCATAGCAACCGCATTCCATCTAAAATTTTTCTAGGGAAAGGTGACATGTGACTGATTTCTACCGGCCAGCAGGTTCATTCTCGCAGATGCCGCAGTTTCATTTTTTATCACTATAAGCAAATATTGTCCTAAGAGTCATGTGTATTCTTCCTTAAATCTTGGTGAGCTTTGTGTATTTCTTCCAGATCTGTGCAGTAATCCAGTGTGACACTTGGAGCTTCCTGTAATAAAGACCGGTCACTGCTGCTCTCTCTCCTTGTGCAGGGTGACTGGTCTTGTCTCCGCCCCCTCCTGTAATAAAGACCGGTCACTGCTGCTCTCTCTCCTTGTGCAGTGTGACCGGTCTTGTCTCCGCCACCTACTGTAATAAAGACCGGTTACTGCTGCTCTCTCTCCTTGTGCAGGGTGACTGGTCTTGTCTCCGCCTTCTCCTGTCATGCCTGTAGTGGGTGTGGCCTGTTGGGTCCCTCCCACAGCTCCGCTCTCTGCACAGGTTATCTATAGCACAGTGATCACGTCACTGCCACTTTTACAAGGTATTAAATGGGTCTGCAAAGACATTTAGTACACAGAGACTAGATTTATATCATGTGTGGCTATTGGGGAATATATTTCTGTGAATGTTTCTGTGCACAGAGTTCAGCTTTAAATACATTCTTGTTAGTACGTTGTCACGTTTACTCACACGTCAAACCTCAGGTTTTGCTTCTCTTCGAAGAAGTAGTCCAGCACAAATTTTCGGACAAAGTCTGGATTCAGCGTGTTGTCGATGACCTCCGTCCGTCCGAACTGTCGGAATAAAGATAAAATGGAGTAATTAGATTACCTGATAACAGCAGTAGAGAGCTGGGGGTAGTGAGGAATTTGCCCCTGGGCTTGTCCTTATTAGATGTTTTGTGCCGTATAATAAATAAAATACCAATAATAAATAAATAACAGTGAATGTGGTTTTAGCTCGGGAAACTCCATCTATTCCAAAATACAATGTTAAAACAAAATGACATTTCGAACAACATTCTACAAGTCTCTGATGACATTATCTAATGTCCTGAAGAGATTTTTCATATGAACGTCTGTTCAGAAATCTACCATATGACCAGCTTTAGCCTGCAGGTGCTTAGGAGTTAATCTGAAGTTTACGGCTGGGGGATATTTTCAGGATTAACAATAAGGTAAAACTATCACTTTATATGTGATAGATTACATTGTACAGGTGTGATCATTTCAATTTTCAGGTTTTATTTTATATTTTTTTTTATTACAGGCATTTCTATACCACTGACAATTTACAAAATGCTTTACATACTCTTCATTCCCATCAGTCCCTGCCGTCAAGGAGCTCACAATCTAAGGTCCCTTATCTGACATGCACACATATACAGGGCTGATTTTAAGCTGACCATACACCTATAGGTTATCTGCAGATTTTCTATGATCAGATGGAAAACAGATTCCTCCATCTACGCTAAACTGTGTGGGTGGTGGAATCTCCCACTGAGCCAAGCTTCAGTATCTTGCTAGGCAGCCCCGCTGGCTCTCCCAAAATACCTGAACAATGCCTGTATCCAATCAGATTGTTTAGGTATTCTGACAGCCAGCGGGGCCGACTAGCAAGATACACAGGGAGAACATGCAAACTCCATGCAGCAGTGGGGTAACAATAGCCACAGCAGCCCACGTAACTGTTATGGGGCCCGGGGTAGGAGGGTTAAGTGTCCCTTTTGTTTAGGGGACTCAAATAAAGCAGATATACTCACCTGATCTTCCGTGCCGCGGAGGTCATTGTTCACCTCTCTCCCCTTCCACTCCAGCTATGAAATCTCCTTTGGCATCCCCAAAACAAATGCAGGTCAATGGACCTGCATAAGAAGTGATGACATCATTGGTCCAGACTGCCGGAGCCCGGGGGAGATGAAGCTGCGGGGACCGGTCTAGCATCCCAGAGGGAGCGAAGGGGACTGAGGATCACGTAAGTAATACAGCTGTATTTGAGCCTCTAAAACAAAACGGCACCTAACCCTTTCAATATGTGTGGGGGGGG